GTGAATGTTTATTGAACACCTATTTATTTGATCCACAGTTAACACCATTGGTACCAGAGGTCAACAAATAAGGAAACACATTGCACTGGGATAATCTGCAGTTAGGGATCTGTCCACATCATTGAGGAGTATTGATGTCAGTTTGAGGACTAAGATGTGTCTGATTCAGATCATAGTTTTTCCAATTATGAGCTATGCATCTGAGAGCTGGACAGTGATTAAGGATGACCGAAAAAGAATTGATGCCTTTGAGCTGTGCTGTTGGAGGAGAACACTGAACATCCCATGGATGGCCAAGAGAAGTCTTGGAGAGAGTGTGTGTAGCCAGAGTACTCTTTGAAGGCAAGAATGAAGAAGAGGCTTCACCTCACATACTTTGGGCATGTTGCTAGGAGGTGCTGTTTTTTGGAGAGGGACATGATGCTGGGAAGGGTGGAGGGTCAATGAAGGAGAGGAAGACACTCAACCAGGTGGATTGACACGGTGACTGCTGCAATGGGCTCTTGTGTGTCAGGAAGTGTGAGGATGGCGCAGGATAGAACAAGGTCCAGATCTTTTGTTCATCGGGCCACAGTGAGTCGTGCTTGACTCTAAGGCACCTAACAACAACAATAACAACAACAACAAATGATGTGGCAGTTATTTGGATTAGCTATTCTCAAAAAGGAACAAAAAAATAATCTTGGGGTGGGGGAAGACTTCTTTTTATATATAAAGCATAGTGTGTGTTTAGAAATTATATACATATATACATACATAAATACATATATGTATTTTTATATATAAATACATACACATAATTGTTCTGTGATATTAACATTTCATGAGGTTATATCTGTAGTCAGGGACCTCTCTATGGAGGAGTAATGATGTCAGTTTGAGGACTAAGGTGTGCCTGATTCAGGCCTTTTCAGTCACTTGCTATGCATCTGAGGGCTGGACAATGACTAAGGATGACAGTAGAACTGATGCCTTTGAATTGTGGTATTGGAGAAAAGTCTTGACTATCCCATGGACTGTCAAAAGAACAAACAGATATGTCTTAGAGAAGGTGCAGCCAGAGTGCTCCTTGGAGGCAAAGATAATAAAGCTTTGTCTCACATACTTTGACATGTTTCTAGGAGACATTATTTCTTGGAGAGAGACGTCATGCTTGGGAAGATGGAAAGAGATTAAGATCCTCAACCAAGAGGGTTGACGTGGTGAGACTGTGGCAATGGGCTTGAATGTAGCAGAGATTGTGAGATTGGCACAGCATAGGACCGGGTTCAGATCCATTGTTCATAGGGTCATTATGAAATGTACTCAACTCAATAGCACCTACCAACAACAGGGAGTAATTACCAGGAGCTCAGGTGGCCTAGTGATAAGAAGCTGTGCTACAGTCCCAAAGACATGTGGTTCAAATCCACCAGTTACTCTGTGAAAGAAAGATGGGCAGTCTCCCCCAGTGTGATTTCCTGCCTATGAAAACCCACTGGAGGGTCAGCTATGAGTCAGTTTTGACTTGGAGGCATACAACAACAGGGAATAATTAGAGGAAAAAAATGTCTAAATGGGCTACTTCTTACTGTTAGTTTCCATCGAGTCAGCTCTGACTTATGTTTGACAACTTTACAAATCACAGAATGACAGATTCCTTGGATCCCCAATCAACATCTGTGGTAGCACCAGTCAAAAAATCAAAAGATGTGTTGCATTCAGCAAATCTGTTGTCAAGGGCTTCATTAAAGTACTAAAGAGCTAGCATATCCATTTAAAGACTAAGATGTCCCTGATATTTTCAATTATTTCATATCCATATGAAAGTTGGGAAATGAATAGGACTATTGAGCCTTTGAATTGTGTGTTGGCAAAGAGGATTGAATTTCCCATGAGCTGCCAAAACAAACAAACAAACAAAAACCCCAAACAAAAAAAAAAAACCCAAACAAATCTGTCTTGGAAGACCCACAGCCAAGGTGCTCTTTAGAGGGAAGGGTGGTGAAACTTTGTCTTACATACTTTTGGCGTGTTGTCAAAAGGATCTCATCCTTGGAAAAATAAGGAGAGGAAGACCCTGAAAGATTTGGATTGAGGGAGCTCTGGTGGCCTAGTGGCAAGAAGCTGTGCTGCAATCCCGAAGGTACAAGGTTCAAATCTACCAGCTGCTTTGCTGGAGGAGGGGCAACCTCCTCCTGTGTCACACACAAAAGAAAGAAAAAGTTGGATTGATACCGTGACTGCAAGAATGGGCTTAAGCATAATAGAGAGTGTGAGGATGGCTCAGGACTGGGCAAAGTCTTAACCTCCTGCACATAGGATTGCTGTAAGTCAGAGCCACATCCACAGTACCCAACAGCAACGAACACTGCTGTGTCTGTGCCTCTCCATGATCTTGTGTGTGTTTGAGCCCATTATTCCAGCTGTTGTATTGCTCTGTCCCCTGAAGGGTTCCCCTGACCCTCCACCAACTACAGTATCCTTTTCTACCAATTGGTGTTTCCTGATGACATATACAAAGTTTGTTTGTTTGTTTGTTTGTTTTAAATGTTCCTTAGGGAAATGCTAATAAACAAAAAGTTGAGGGAAACAGATTTAGATCAATGATGAACCAACAAAAATCCCTGCTTTCCTGACTTATGTTCTTAAGACCTTTTTTTTTTAAGTAAATGCAAGTAATTAAATGATTATTTGTACACTGTGTTGAGGGCAGAGGCCAATGGACAAAGAGAGTGCATGTGTTTCACAGGGACCTCCCCCACGCCAGTTCAGGGACAGATAGGGCAGTAGCCAGAAATAGACACCGTAGTGCACATTGGGTTGCTATGATGTTGAACAGGCTTCAGCAAAGTGTGCAGACCAAAGCAGACTAGGAAGGAAGGCTTGGCAGCCAACGGGTCTGAGCCTTGTGGCCATTGTGAGTGGGAGGCCAAGGGTGGGCGACTAGGTGGTTCACAGACATAGTTTTTCCCCTGTGTCATTATGCAATGACTGGCTTCCACCTGTCTCTTTCACTCCAAAAGTGAGGCTCCTCAGAATGGCCCCTCTGTAACTGTCTTCACACAGGGGACTGTGTGCAGGTTCCCCAGCCCTTTAGCCCACAACATTTGCATTTTCACATTCCCTGCTCTCATCTTCTCCCAGCTCAGCCATCCCACCTTCCTTCTGCTGTCCCCTCCCTTGTCACTATAAAAAAGTGACCCAGAGCTGGCTCTGAGGGACTTTCCATCCCAAACTCCTGGCATTTCTGGGGCTGAGGGACCAGGGACTCTTTGTCGTTAACTCGCTCGCTCTAACTCCAACAGGCAACTCCACACCCAGTCCAGTCACTGGACTTTGGGGACCATCCAAAAAGGAAAAGAACGAAAGGCTTTTGAGAAGAGAAAGGTTTCCAAATTTGCTGTTTTCTTCCCCGCTGGGCATTCTGACTAATGTTTACTTTGTGGTCAAGCTTGGCAATTTTAGCCTTCTTCATCCTGAAATGACTTTTAATTCAGTCTCAAAATACAGCCAGGTGGCTTTTAAGCCAGTTTTAGAGTCCTCAAAACTAGGGAAGTGACTCTAACCTCCCCTTCTATTGATGACTCCCAGAATCCTTCCTCAGTCCTCAGAGGAAGACAGGACAAATACTCCAGTAGCTATCTGAAAGATGGGAAAACTGAGGATCACTAGGAAGTGACAGAACTGAACTTGAACTACACACCCAGTCCACTTCCCCTCAAGGGTTGGAGTTGAAGTTCTACATCTTCAGGAGATGGGAACTTAAGTCCTACTGGAAAGAAACTTGCAAGTTACCCCAGTATTCATTACATGCAGAGCGTGTGTGAGAGTCTGGGAAAGGGCTGTGATGGTGCAGGGGTTAAGCATTCAGCTGCTAGCCAAAAGGTCAGTGGTTCAAACCCACCATGGGAGAAAGATAAAGCAATCTGCTTCCATAAAGATTTCACTGCTTTGAAAAGTCTACCAGGCAGTTATTCTCTGGGTCAGCATCAGGTCAACGTGTTAGGGGGGGTTGGTTTGAAGATTTTGTGTGATTTACAGCCTCTGAAAACTCACTGGAGGGTCAGCTCTGATTCCACGGCAGTGAGTTTGAGTTTTGAGTTTATCCCTCTGCTAGTATGCTGTCTCATCTTGTCCGTGGGCCATAGTTAACTGGATACTTGGCACAAGATGGACTGTTAAGACGATCACTTCCAGTTATGGGGTCTTAGGCTCTGAGATGCTGCTTGCTTCCTAGGCTGGTCCTTTGAACTGGGGGACCTGTGAGGTAATCCCTTCCTGTCACATGATTAGAAGAGGGGGGAAAAAACAGCAGACATATGAAGAGATAAAGAGAGGTGTCCAGGTGCATGTGTACATGTGTGAGATGGTGCATAGAATCTGATGGAAGACTAGTTCATTTTAAAGCCTCATTCTCTTTTGTTGTTATTGTTGTATGCTGCTGAGTTGGAACTGACTCATAGCTGACCCTCCAGTGAGTTTTCAGAGGCTGTAAATCACACAGGAGGAGACTGTCCATCTTTCTCCTGAGGAGCAGTTAGTGGAGTCAAACCACCCAGTTGAGCTACCAGCTCTTTGATAAGCAGCTCAACTCCCTACCCACTAGGCTACCAGAAACAACAGACCCTCCCAAATAGCCCAGGTCTTCCCCTTTCACGATATTAGAAACACAAGGCACATTCAGTTTAGCAACAGTTTTCCCAAGAAAGAAACTCCATCACCATCAAGAGACCCCTGTTTTAAAAGAAGGAAACTGAAAAAGCAGAAAGTGACATTTAGACGGCAAACACAAATAGATAAGGACGAGTGTGTACTGAAATGCTAATAAGATTTCTCTTTAAGTAGTGTAATGGTAATTAATCATTTCGTATCATCTTCTTTCTTGTCTCCATGTTCTACTTCTTTTCACCATAAACATTTTATTTTGTATGAAACAAATATAACAAAGGCATTTGCGGGGCACGTTTGGGGATCTCTCTGCAATTATAGAGTCGATGTGTTTCTCTTGCTTGTTGAAGGCTGGAACCAGAAAAGCTGCCCCAAAGATGGACCAAGAGATGTTGAAGAAAGAACCACCGAACAAATGCAACCAGAACCTCTTGTTTTCTAAGCCAGGAGGAAGGAACTAGAGAAGGGTCAGCCTTAGAGCCTCACGCTTTCCTCTGTAAGTCAAAATACTAACATGCATTTATAGGATTGTAAAGCTTGTTAGCCTTGTGTTTTTATTTCTAGTTTGGTATTTTGCATGATGCTATATTTTTTTTTAGTGTATGAAAAGAGGAGTTCTTTTATAAAGATATCTGTGAGTATGTGTACAGTCAGGCATAGGAAGAAGGTATTTAAGTTTGTAACCCTGACTCGTAGACCTGGGTGGATACATTTACATGGCTCTATGTTTGGTGGCCTAGTGGGTAAGGAGTTGTACTGCAAACTCAAAAGCAGGAAGTTCTAATCCAACAGCTGCTCCAGGGGAGAAAGATGGGCAGTCTCGTTGCTTACTATTTACAGCCTCTGAAAACTTGATGAAGTTGCTTCTAACTTGACAGCAATGGGTTTCAGTTTTTTGATGTTTGAGTCATTTGTACATCTATGGAGCTCCAAGAGATGCAAGTCCAAGACCAAGTGTTGAGAAAACTCCAGACCTGTGTGGTTGTAAGGAGGACAGGTTCTGATAGGGTTTTGTTCTGTTGTTTAAAAGGTAGCTGTGAGTTGTAGCCAGTAACAACATGGTATGAAATATACTGTATCATAGCTCTAACGTTTAAAACAATCTGTTTTCCTTCTAGTCTTGGAATAGATTCATCTTAGTTAAACAGCAGTACAGGTGGTTATAAAAAAAAACCCACACATTTTGTTTATTGGGCTTGTTTGTTTGAATGTGCATAAATTAAATGTAACATTTGTATGATGCCACTGTATTGTAGGTCTTTCAAAGGATGCATTTTTATCGATCAACATTACAAACCTGATGGCAACTTCTTCCCTACGCTCCTTGACCAAGGTGGTTCTTCAGGTGTCTCTTCAGCCACGCCCTCCCTTCCTCTGTGGATGCACTTCCGCCTCGAGGTTTGCCCGCCCTACACGGATCCGCGTTCAGAATTGATTGGCTGAGTCACTGATACTCAATTCAAGCCGGACCAATCAGATTTCTCTTCTGACTCAAGCTTGGCGTGCTTAGCACCTCTTCTGGTTAATACCAGGGCTGGAATAGTCATTTCCTCACCTTGTGTTCAGAGGAACAAAACCAGTCTTCATAAAGAGAGGAGGCTGCTGTATGTGTGAAACGGGTAGAGACAAGAAGCCATGGAGATCCAAAGAGACATGCAGAAGATACTGGAGCTTGGCTACCCCAAAGCCATTCACAAGCTCTCTAGTCCTCACTTTACGATACAGGCTAGAAAACTCCTGCTTGGTTTCCCAGTCTCCCTCGCAGCTAGGGCTGGACAATGGCACAAAACCTGAAGCTCCTACCTGGGAAGGGCTTCCCTACTGGAATGAAAAGTAAAATCTCATTGGGAAAAACCTTTTCCCCCTTTGTCTCTTGCCTTCCCCCTCTCCTACTCCTGCAGCTCAGGCTTGGAGCTGCCCTCTTGGGAATCATCAGGCAACAAACAAGGGGCTGAAACTCACCTTCCATGGACAATGAAGTGGAATGACAAGAGAGACCTGGTGGCCTCAGTAGCTCTGTACTAGAACGGAACTTTCTACCTCTGTGCCACTGATCATGTAAGACAAATAAATCCCTACCTATTTAAGTGGTCCAGGATGTTCATTCGTACTGGAGCAAATCAGCCACTCCAAAACTTAGTCATTTGAAATAGCAAATATCATTTCTTCTCTTACTTCCTTAGCTCAAGCTCGGTAATTGCTAGGTTGCTTACTGTTCTGGGCTGCCTGGGATGGGGCTGGTTTAAAATAGCCTCGTTTCCATGTTTAATCATTGGCAGGTAAGTCAAGACAGTGGTTCTTAACTTGTATGATTTTGCCCATCCGGAGACACTTGGCAATGTCTGGACGCTTTTTGGGTGTTACAATTTAGAGTCGGGTTGCTACGATCTTCTAATGGGCAGAAAGACCAAGGATGCTGCTAAACATCCTAAAATGCACAGGGCAACTGCCAGAACAAATGATCGTTTGGTCTAACATGTATATCATGCTGAGGTTGAGAAGCCTTGGCTTCTCTGTTGGCCGGACTGTTTCCTGCTTCATACGGTCTCTCATTCCCCTGGAGGGTAGACCAGGCATATATATGTGGTGGTCACAGATTCCCGATGACCAAGAACTTCTCTGTCTGTGCAGGGTTTACCAATATCCCTCTAGACAAAGCAAGCCACATGGCCAGAGTCAATGTGGGAGGGGCTCTAAATTTTTGAGTGAGTAGTCCATGTCAAGTTTTTCCATATTTGAAGCAGGATGTATTCCCATTAAACACAGAGGGGGGAAAATAACAGTTCCCTTGATGCCTGATCACCCTCTCATCTTTCATGGCTTTTTCCATGAAAGTCAATTCTAAGTCATGTCCTTGGGTCTAACTAGGAACCTTTGTATCATTTAAAGTTCTTTGGTAACAAACAACGGAAACTTAACATCACTAATTTAAACAGAAAGGGAGTTTAATGAAAGGAAGACAGTTCAACACTCAGAGAGCAAACGAAGAAGAGGCAGGCCTACACAAGAACTGACTTGTCCCCATCAGCAAACGAAGCCTGCTGTAGTGTGAGTCATGGTGACATCCTTGCTGGGCTATTTCCTAATCTGTAAATCTTGATGGGAGCAGGCCACCTCACCTTTGAACCACCCCATTTCCTGTTATCTGCCCAACCCATAATCTATTTTGGCTTTAGTTGGTTGGAGTTTCTGTTATTTGCAACCAAAAAGGCCTTTACTAAGACCTTCTGCTGCACCAACCCCACAGATCATTCAGAGAAACTACCCACAACCTTTTTCTCTTAGGCTTGTTCAGGCCCCAAAAAACTTCCCAGTCTCCTCTGATTCCCCCAGAAGCCAAGACAAAACAACTTCCCTCCCCTCCCTTGCCAGTGGCAGACCGTTTGGATTCTCAGATTCGTGACTTTGCAGATAAGGTGCCCTTCTCTCAGAACTTGGCAGCTTCACCAGCGCCTGCTGCTGTAGAAACCAGAGTCATGAAATGTCTGGAGGGATGAAAAATAGCTTCCAGATTTGAATTCCAAAGTGCGCTCCTGGTAAACAGAATGGTTTCCAGTGTTTTTAAGGGTCCTAGGAATGAAAGCACACTAATGAAGAGAGGTAATCCAAGACTGGTGAATGCTAATGTGTTCTCTTCTCTAAGCCTGAGTGAGACCTGCTGATGCAGAAGCCAGGGTGCCCGTTGAGGGTAGACTATTTCAGCTTATCAACTTGGCCTCATTTCCATCAAGATGTGCCACTCACATCCGGCTGCTCAGTGTCCCCAAGTTATTTTGGGCCAAATGCATGACCTTATGTCCCTACTTTTGTTTTAAAACATTTTTCTTTGCCCATCTGTTCCCCAAGAATCCATTGCAATGCCTCCAGGAGCAGATTTCTTGTTTTGAGTTTTCTCTCCTCTTTAGCATATTACTTTCATTCCCTGAGAACCTACATTATCAGGGACCAAAAGATCCTCTTCTGGCCAGTGGGTGGTCTGATCATCATAGAAGTCCGTGATGCCCTCTGGCTGCTGAGTTACTGTTGTTGTTGTTGTTAAACAGTCAACTTTCAGTTAAGCAGCAGATAGTGGGTCTTTACTCCATGCCCGATTGTGAACATGGCTCAGGACCACGCAACACTTCATTCTGTTGTGCACGGGATCACCCTAAGTCAGAGGCAACTGACAGTACAGCAACAGCTGTGCCTGATACTGATGTCACTCGGCTAGACCTTGTAGCCTTGGATGTTGCTCCCATCTCAGCTGAGAAAACATTGGAATCATCAATGTACTGGGTATGCTGGCATTCACTTAACTGCTGGAAGATCATTAAGGAAGGGTTGCCTACAGCCATCAACTTCAAGCTGGGAGTTTCCCATATGTTTTTCAACTGTTGAAGTTGGGTAGCTAATAATAGCAACAACTTTTTATGGCTTCCTTAGTGGACTTCTGGAGTCCTGATGGCTTAGTAGTAAGGAGTTGAGCTGCTAACCCAAAGGCATGCAGTTTGAATCCAGCAGCTGCTTCATGGGAGAAAGATAGTCTCTTCCCATGCAATTTACATCCTCTTGCTGCTTGCCTAAAAGCTGACTCTTTAACAAACCCTATAAAACCTTTGGAGAGTTAGCTATGAGTCAGTTCTGACTTAATCATACTTAACAACACAAAACAAACATTAATACTGGCCTTTAGGCCAGTATAATCCAATACTGTCCCACTTAATGTTCACTTTATACGTCCTTCCTGTTTTACCTTTGAAAGCTGTGGGTCTAGAGGAACCTAAGCAACATGTCCAAGGTCACAGAGCAAATGTGAGAACTGAGACGTCCTACTCCTAACTGCTCCCATATGTTGCTTCCCACATGAAGTCCAGGAACTAGCTGCTTGCTAATCCATAAGTGTGTGGTTGTTGTTGTTATGTGCCATCAAGTCAGAACTGGCTCATAGCTGACCCTCCAGAGGGTTTTCAGAAGCTGTAAATTGCTTAGGAGAAAATTACCCATCTTTACCTCATGGAGTACTTGGCCAGTGAATTGAAAATGTGTGCCTTCAGGTTAACAACGTAACAAGCATCAACACATTTTGGTAAAGGATCAGATAATAAATATTTTCTGTCTTGGACCATATGGTCTCTGTTGCCTCTCTTCAACTTAAACATCACTTTGCAACAGAACAACTAATGAATTCGTGACTGTGTTCCAATAAAACTATATTTAGAAAAAAAGGCAGTGGACCAGATATATAACCCACAGGCCCATGTAAACTGTCATCTAGACTAGACTTTTAATATCACTTGACTATTAATATCATGCCTACCACCTGCGTGTCAGGAATACAGATTATCAGTACCTCCATCATTGAGAGCATATGGAATTGTATTATGCGCCACGTGCTACACTATACTTTTTATATAAATTATCTCATCTAATCCTTTTCAATATTCAGGAAGGAGATAAGCAGCTCCATTTTAGAGACAGGGTA